CTTTTCCGGCGGGTGCCTTACCTCCCTTGGGCTGGGCCAGCTGGTGGTCGGCCTGCTCCGTCTCTGCCGCTTGCCAGCTACGCCTCGGCCGGCGCAGGGGGCGGAACCACGCATGCGTGGCGCTCCCGGGCAGGGAAAGTCCTCGACTTACGACCGGTTGGGTAGTCCTCGACTTACGACCGGTTTAGTCCTCGACTTATGACCGGTTTAGTCCTTGATTTATGACCGGTTGGGGGTCGCGGCATTAAAAAGGTTGAGAACCACTGAACTAGACTTTTTTGGGGTTTTGTCTTTGAAAATGTTTCACTTCTCCTCAAAGAAGCTTCTTCAGTTCTAATCATTATATGAAGTGACAATAGGAAACTCCTAGACAAAAAGATAAGGGGTGTATTTAAATGACAGATCCCTGCCATTTCTGAATGCTTGTTTAATTGTCTGTAAAAAAAATTGGGAAACATTGGCATAGCATGTACAAATTGCAGAGCTGAACAAACCATTGGTACAGAATTTTGGTTACCGTGGCCCATACATGTATGTTTGTTTATAGTGGTATTAAAGTATGGTCCTAGGACCTTGGGAGGAGTTGTTCCCCCAAGACCCTCTCACACGTCTACACAGTCAAAATTATTTGTCAGCTTACGTTAAAAAAAATAATACCATATAAAAATCCCATCAAACAATCTTGAGAAGCAGAGTTCCAATTTTAATTTTTAATACGCTAAATGTTGATAAATATAATCCGTGCCAACAAAAGCTTTTTTGGGGGAGGGGTCCTCCATAATTTTTAAAAGTTGGAAGGGGTCTTGAGAGAAAAAAGTTTAAAAAACACCAATTTAGAGGAGGCTGCACACACATTCTGCTCCACCTTGAAACATGGGTAAAGCTGATGCTTTGTTTTGCATTGGCTTTAGGCCAGTAGGTTTTTGCTGTCCCATAGCAAATTTGTGCTGTGCCACAGCCCGATCATCACAACAGTACTAAGCTGATCTCATTTCCTTCTCTCTTGATTCATAAGGAGTTTGAGACCAGCTCATTTTGGACAGAGAGAGACGAATTCATCTCTTCCTACGTACAGGCATATAAAAATCGGTGGCTTTTTTTTTTCTTTTTTTTTTTCTGGCTCCTGGGAGCTGTAATTCCACCAGCTGGCTTTTTCTCAGCCTATCCCCGATTACAAGTTTCCTCCCAATGTCCAGTTAAAGTAAACTTGTTAAGGACTAAAACAAATAAAATACCAACCGGAGTCATCAAATGGCAATTTAATCGTTGTGGTGTGCTTGCGTCAGATCCCAGAAAAAATTCCAACCGGATGGCCTCAAAGTTCCTCCTCCTTCCCAGCAAGAACTGATGTCGGGAGAAAGGAGCCGTGTTTCAGAATGTGATTATTGTAGCTAGAGAATGCCATGCATTTGTGGGGGGGGAGGGAGGGGGATGGAGCCTAACAGTGGCTTAGATTAATGAGAGGAGGGAAATAAGGGCTTCGTAAGCCTGCTTCTTTTTTTTTATGTAGCAAAGTAAATGCATCTCTGGATAAAAGCAGTAGTGGACTATTGCCCTCTGCTGGGCTAAAATATTTAAATTTTAAGCCGTATTACAGGTAATCCTCGACTTACGACCACAACGGAGCCCAAAATTTCTGTTGCTAAGTGAGACATTTGCTAAGGGAATTTTGCCCCATTTTACGACCTTTCTTGCCACAGTTGTTAAGGGAACCACTTCAGTTGTTAAATTAGTGTCACGGGGTCGTTAAGCGAATCTGGCTTCCAGATTGCCTTTGCTTGTCGGAAGATCGCAGAAAGGGGATCGCATGATCCCAGGGACACTGCAACCATCATAAATGTGAGTCAGTGGCCATATTTCCTGAATTTTGATCATGTGACCCCGAGGAAGCCGCAACGGTCGTCAGTGTGAAAAAACGATCACAGGTCGCTTTTTTCAATGCCGTTGTAACTTTGAGTGGTAACTAAATGAACTGTTGTAAGTTGAGGACTACCTGTATTGAGTTCGAGGTGAAATCTATTGGAAAATCCTTAGACGACTTACTTACTGAAATAGATTGGTTTGACTGCTGATTTAAAAACAAAAATGGTCAGTACCTAACACTAATACCTTGCATTTCTCACTTTGTAGTAGTAACTTTACGACCATTTCTTGCAATTATGACCTTCGCAGGTCTGTAAAGCAAAGAAAAGCTGAAGTAAGATCCTAGGCACCATTGCCAATTTCATTTAGCGACTGTTTCACCTAATGACTGAGTTTCTAGTCGTTCCAGTACAAGTAGTCCTTGACTTACAAGCATTTGTTTAATGACCACTAAAAAAAAATGATTTATGGCCAGTCCTTGCACTTAATGAATGTTGCAGTGTCTCCCATGGGTCATATCAAAATTTGGGAGTCTGGTTATCAGCATGCATTTCCAATAGTTGCACCATCCCGGTGTCCTGTGATCTGCGTTTGCAACCTTCCTAACTGGCTTCTGGAAAGAGCAGAATGTTTCAGACAAGCAAAACCAATGGAGGAAGTCAGATTTTTCTTAACACCTGTGTGATTCACAGCAATTACAGTGATTCGCTTAACAATTGTTGCAAAAAAAAAGTCCTAAAATCAGTGCAACTCACTTAAACAACCACCTTGTCTAGCAGCGGAAATCCTGTTCTCAGTTGTGGTGGCGCAGTGGTTAGAGTGCAGTTTTGCAGGCTGACTCTGCCCACTGCCAGCAGTTCGGTCCTGACAGGGCTTGAGATTGACTCAGCTTTCCATCCTTCCGAGGTCGGTAAAAGGAGGACCCAGATTGTTGGGGTCAATAGGCTGACTTTTTAAACCACTTAGAGAGGGGCTGTAAAGCACTATGAAGCGGTACTGTATATAAGTCTAAGTGCTTTGCTATAAGCTGAAGACTAACTGCATATGAATTTATTTACATTATACATTTATTTCTTGTCTTATAATCCTCCACCACCCCCAGTAAACAACAAAAGTGAACCAGATTAGATATTGTTCCAACTAGACAAAACATTTATCATTTTCACACTTCACCATAATTCCGGCATAATTGTTTGCAAGTAGTGGACTGCATGGATCTCTCTTGTCATTCTTCTCGGTTCCTTCTGCTAGCAGAAATGGAAAACCTATCCCAAAAATTGCTCTCGTGGTTTATTTACTGTGCTTCCTCTCTTGCTGGTTTCAAAGGAGCTGGGGATCAGAAGCCAAGAACAAACATGGCTTCTGATTCTGACCTATTTGGAAAAAAGTCAGAGCCGTCAAAATGGAAGTTTAGAACAGGGGTCCCCAACCCCCGGTCCATGGACCAGCACCGGGCCGCAGCATGCCAGAAACCGGGCCGCACAAACAAGCAAAGGGGATGTAGGTAGTACATGAAACCACACCCCCTCCGGTCCGCAGAAAAACTTCTCTCCACGGAACCGGTCCCTGGTGCCCAAAAGGTTGGGGGCCTCTGGTTTTAGAGGATAGTTTTCACTGTAAATATTCCAAACGTAAACATCTAAACCTTTGAACTTATGAGCTGCTCCATGTGGAAGTTCCAGACCACATGTAAGCAGTAAATGTTGAGCTCTCCTACAACTCTCTGACCTGGTTCCTCGCTTTTCCTTTGCAGATGTCTTACACACTCGGGGGCCTCTGGACGGAAGCCTGTATGCCCGGGTCAAGAAGAAAAATGAGCTGAGTCACTTGTCCTCTAGTAATGGCAGTCCAGGAAGCCTAGAGTCTCCTCCACAGCAGGGTGGGCGTCTCCTGTCCATCAGCAGTGATTCGGGACACTCCTCTATGTTAACGGAGAAGGCGGAAGACAACACGCCTCCCTCCAGGCCTCAGCCCACACCAGCTGAGAAGGAAGAATTGGATCGGCTCTTGGGAGGATTTGGCGTCCAGCCTCAGCAGCCAAGTGAAGGGTCTTGTTCTCATTCGGTTTCCCCTTCTGCAACTAAAGAGAGAGAAACAGCCATCTTAGAGGATGAACTTTCCGACATAGGCCAACCAGGCAGCTCTTTCTCCTATCAGTCTCAGCGCTCTGGCCTGGCTCGCCATTGTTCTTGTCGTCTGGATTACTGTTCCCACAGCCCTGAGAGACCTCGCAATTTGTCCTATTATAGGCCGGAAAGTGTTTTGGAGCGGCGGCAGCCCATCCATAACGGGGGGCACTCTCATCTGCATGCCGAGGGGTATGAGGAGAAACGACGTGTGTTTCGTTCTCTTTCAGAGGGCCTACAGCCCCATGCCTACCCCTATGGCCATGAGCTGCTGCCTCCTCACAGTCCTAGCCGGCGGGAGCACAATGAGCTGCTTATCTTGGAGGACCAGCCTACCTTTCTATGCCCATGCCAAGATTGTCAAGAAACAGCACGGGAAGAATCAAGGCTGCCCATGGCTTCCTTCTACAACTTACACCTGGATCAGGAACCGGACTTCTGGGGGTTGGACAGGCCACCCTTGCTTCATCATCCCTTGCACCGGGGTGGGCAGCCAATGCCCATTCTAATGCCAACCAGCTATGGGCACCATTCCATGTCCCATGGGCAGCATCATCAGGCTTTTAACTTTGAGC